ATGCACGCAACCGTTCACGGCCAGGCGTGGCGTGCGGGCCACGTACTTACACAGTGCGTGTGACGCGCGTTGCCGGTACTCCCTCCCTGCCTTTGCCACTCCCTCCCTACGTTTTCAGAAAAACGTGGCGGCCGTGGCCTCACCAAAAACCGTACGGACTAAAAACACGCACGGTGGGATGTGACCAACGCTTCATGATAGGGATGAAACCTATTATCATATTGTGGCGTAACCGGGCTCTGCCGGGGTAGCGTTCTGCCTTGCAGTCTCTCAAAACCCGGTCCACGCTCTCGACAATCATTCAACTCTCAGTGCCCAAGACGAAAATCCAATTGAATCCCCATTGAATGTCCCCATTGAATCCAATTTGGAGTAAATGGAAAGTGAAACAATGGGTACCCATTGAAACCAATGGGGACCAATTGCCAATTGGTTTCAATGGGTACCCATTGTTTCACTTTCCATTTACTCCAAATTGGGGACCAATTGGTTCCAATGGGGACCAATCGCCAATTGGTTTCAATGGGTACCCATTGTTTCACTTTCCATTTACTCCAAATTGCCAATTGGTATTGAATTGGGATTCAATGGGGGAATTCAATGGGGATTCAATTGGTAAATCGATCCAGTTAGAAGAACAAGTAATAAATTATTGATACTTCATAATCGATATTGGGCAACTGTCCACCAATTAGGTATATTCCAATCTCATTTGCATTAACTTCATCACATATAGATCATATGAAGTGAATTCAAGAGTTTCATTTACGGTGACATTGGCTCGTACAAATATATATACTAAATATGTATATTGTTTTTTGGTTAGTAATCATATAATCAATATATAAATCAATATATCTATTGCTAAAACGTGAATGTAATTGTAACATGATCAGACAAAATAATCTACTTGTTAATAATTGCTGAAGGAATAAAGAAATCACAAAATTGATGTGCATTGTCATAATTTGCTTAACAAATCATGATAAATTTATTTTTCTGTGACACGTGTAAAGTGATAATGAATATTCATGAGATGCCTAGATTTGTTGGTTTCAATTGGCCAATTGGTTTCAATGGGACCAATTGAAGTCCACATTAAGGCCAATTGGTCCAATTGAAACCAACTGGGGACCCATTAAAGTCTAATGGGGCCTAGGCCAATGGGTCCAATTTGTCCAATGGGGCCAATCCGGACCAATTGAAACCAATTGGGGACCCATTAAAGTCTAATGGGGCCTAGGCCAATGGGGCCAATGGGGCCAATTTGTCCAATGGGGCCAATCCGGACCAATTGAAACCAATTGGGGACCCATTAAAGTCTAATGGGGCCTAGGCCAATGGGGCCAATGGGGCCAATTTGTCCAATGGGACCAATCTGGACCAATTGAAAACATCTGAGGTCCCATTGAAACCTGTTAAAACCTATTGAGACCTATTGAGACCAATTGAAACCAATTGAAACCAATTGAAATTTCAATTGGTGTTCAATTGGTTTCAATTGGATTTTCGTCTTGGGTGGGCTCTCACAAAAGTATATCGTGTAAGAAATAACGTGGACTAGCTCTCCTTTTACTCACTCCCGCAATCACTGAATGTCTGACAGGACTAAAGAAACAACACTGGCACAGTATATCTGCAGTTCAAGTAACTTTACTCGTTCCTGGTAACGGATCGACCTGTCGCAACGACAGGTCAACACCAAACTGACTGACATCTCACGATGTCCACATATATATTTCACAATTAACTATAACGCCCTCTACGTCTTACTAAATTACTGGACTAGTTATGCTACAATATCATCAATCAAATCACATAGAACTTTCCGAATTGCGCTTTTCAAGCCTGACTCCTAAAATCATTATTTATCCAGGCTCTTCTGCTCCCGAGGTGAGGCAATATTTTATTATGATAATAATATTAACCGCCCCACTCTTGATGTTGTTAATTTGTTGGGAACAAAAAGTTCGACAATTCAAATCATTGTCTCATCAGTTACGGAACTGCCATTACAAAATATATTAATCTTCCTTTAATGTTTCAGATTAAATTTATGAAGAAGTCGAATGAGTACGATAGCTTTCAGGCGCGGATCTACGGGGGGTTTAGGGGGTTTAACCCCCCCCCCCCCCCCTTGGGTGGCACCCAAAAAACAAAAAAAGAAAGAAAAAAAGAAAGAAAAAAGAACGCACGCTGGAGAGAAACCCTTTCAAGTGCAAATATTGTGAGAAGATATTCAACTCATCTGGTAACTTAACCAAACACATGATAACTCTGGATATAACTGTGTATTAAATTGTTACTTGATTTAAAAAGACGTTATCATGCACTGCTTTTTATGGTCTCCATTGTGTTAATATATAGATGCCAGGAAAACATCACTTACGGGGTTCAAATAAACACCCAAAAAAAAATCGGCTCGCCGCTTCGCGGCTCGTGGACGATGCTCCGCATCGTCATTATTTTGGTCAAACCCCCCCCTTAGCAAAAAGCTGAAACATCAATTGAAGTTTTACTTTCGATCTGTAGTCGTGCACCATTTCCCCCTCAATAAAAAATCTCCTATACACACGCACACAAACGCACGCAAACGCACGCATGCGTCGACCACAATAAAGCTAATAATACTAGAAATTATTTATAACATTGCACATGCTATTTCCAATTCCACAACGCTTTATCGAGGGAACATCATATTAAATGAAGTCACAAGACTGGCTTGTTTTGCTTTGTATCTGTATGTTCTTGGCTAATTGGGGGTAAAGTTAGGCTTTTCAGCTTTTAGATAAAGGGGATAGAATTTAAAATTACAAAGTTAATTTGACAAGGAATGACCCAATATCCTGTAATAGATTACAACCTTCAATTTCTAATTTCGCCCTTTCATTTTTCACAATTGTTGTTTCTTTTTTTCTCATTCCATTCGGACGTAAATAAGTGTTATAATTTCTAGAGCTGTTATCTGAACACAACGATTCAATTGAGATATAAGGAATTAGTTTACTCACTGACGCATTGTAGTAACCTTCAAAGAGGTCTTAAATGGTTTATGCGGTTGATTTAGGCTGTTATGCTTTGTGAAAGTCCACATTTTTTTATATTTTTCTCAGCAGTTTTCATAAACATTTTCCTCATTCTTTTTGACCAATCGGCACTCAGACCATATTGACATGGACACATAATCAAACAAACTACTATAACATACAAGTTTACCTGACAAATCAAGCAATTTATTTTCTGATATCGATTACTCTTTGACGAAATTGAGCAGAGAAATAGAAGATCCTTGATTGTGATTCTCAATCTGTCTTCTGGTGTCATCATTCAGCTAACCAACTGACGGAAAGACAAGAATGTAACAATTCGATTATTAAAGGGAACATGATGACCAAAATAGATTAATCCCACAAATACCAAATAATCTTATAACATTTTAAAAGTAATGATTAGTTGAAATTGCCCAATATAGCAATAACTAAAACAAAGGCTTTGCGTCATCCTACCAGGTCCCTATTTCTCTCCTGGGTATGGAGTGGCAAATTTAGATTAATGCCTTGACAAAGGACATTAGTGTCATGTCAGTGATAGAACCCCCAACCTTTGCATTTCAAGTCAAATGCCTAAACACTCGACTATCAAACCTCTCTGATAAGCTCACAAATCACATAACAAGATGCAACTGCTCTGTGAAACCTTTCCTAGATATTTTAGGATAAAATACATTGCCAATGGCAATCAACCCTCTTTGGTCTATATATATTTTTATATATTTTTGGGGTTACTTTTCCAGATACTTTGGGAGACAACTCATTCTTTGGTAAAATAATTGTATATACAGGACATCTCCTTGTCCCACACAACACCACTCAAAATTCTCATCACATTTGCAAAACCCCCTGAGAATATTGAATACTAAAAGACCTACATAATAATGATAATAAAAATATTCCGCTTTTATATAGCGCTTAATACATCTATGATGTCTCTAAGCGCTTCATAGATATTGGATTCAATGCTTTCCCGCACACATTGTGTGCACAACCTCCACTCCCTGGGGAGTATTCCAGCCAGGCGTTACTTGACGCTCAAAACTGTTTGACCAACAATGACGGTCGCATCCTACCGGGTACCCATTCACGTCTCAAGAACTTTACGTGTTCCCTGAGATTATACCAAATTTCCATCTCTTCACCCCAAAATGATTTTTTATTTTAATCATACAATGCTATTACTATTTTTGTATTACTATAATAATGACCACAAAAACAACTTTTCATCAATTATTTGTATAGTCACTAGACAAGAAAATGTTGGTCAATATTAATGTTTTCTTCTTTTCTTTCTAGAAGGAAAAGAGATGCAGAATTGGGAATCTTTTACACATCACATGCACAATAGGTTCAAACTTCTACTATTTCTGGAATCAATTCAGTACGGAAATAATATTACTGTATGTAAGTAAAAATCTACGTAACTTAATCAATTACAAGTTATTTTTGTCTCTATTTTTCCATTACTCAACTTGTATAGGTTGAGTTGGACACATATCCTCTTTCTAATATCAATTTTAGCAAGTACATGTCCCAAAAGTTGTGCAATGTTTCAATCTATAACCCATGAGTGAAATTCATCAAAACCATATTAATACCAACAAGTTTTCTTGAAACTGCATTAATGTATAATTGAAATAAGTAGTATAACTGATAGTAGAAAAAGTATCTAAGTGTATACACCTGTGCAGCATTTATATTGATCCTCTGATCTATTTTTCATCAAAAAAGTTTGAAATATATTTCACCTCTTTATGTAAAGACAAGCTTGTTGATTTGGGGATTTACAACTTTCCTCAATCATCAAGTATAACTGCTAAAAAATCTAAACAATGTCAACAAGTTTTCCTTGTTTCTCTAACGCTGACTTGTGACAATATCATCGCCATTATTAAGATAAGAATACTGGTCTGGCACTTCACACTTCCGATCTCTTCAATAGAATAATTCCAATCTATAATAAAATACTTCTAATCTCTTTAATTGAATGATTTAACGCATTAAGCAAGTGTTCCACTCAAAGGGGTGTGGGGCATGATGCTCGCATCCTAATTTTATGGCGAATTAGAAAAATATTGATAATGTCATTTTTTTATTCCAATAGCACCCTCTAGTTTCTCAGTTGAGCTTGATGTAGAATCTATTTATATTTTTCACGAGGGCTTAGTTATACGAGTGTGATTTTCTCTTTACAAATTTTTTGGGACCGAATACAAAAAATGTAATGATGATCTTTTTTGATGTGATATTTAAAAAACGCCCTGTATTTTCTTCAGCTGAGCATGACCTGAGGGGTTTTTCATCAAACTTGTCATAAGTGAAAAATGACATATTTTGTTATAAGCTACTGAAATCCTTGCTTCTGATTGGTTATCAGCAAATTTGTCGATGATTTTTGTCATTTATCATTGAAAAAAAGCTTTGTGAAACGGGGTCCCTGGATTCCATTTCTAGCTCTCATTACAAGAGGGCAGGCGAGTGAGATACTCTTAATCAAAAGTTTTAGATGGCAAATTTTCAGAGGAAATATGTTATAGCGCCCTCTAGTTTTCAACCACGATTGACTTAGTTTACCTATTCAAGTCTTATGACCAGAGGGCACATGAATGTGACACTCCCATTCAAAATATTGTGAAGGCGAAATTAAAAAATTATTTATAATGTCATCTTTGGATGAGATACACCTATAGCGCCCTCTATTTTTCAACCAAGATTGCCTTAGTTTACATATTCAAGTCTTACGACCAGAGGGCACATGAATGTGACACTCCCATTTAAAATATTATGACGGTGAAATTAAAAACATGATTAGACATTCCTATAGCGCCCTCTATTTTCTTCTGCTGAGCTTGACGTAGATACCATCCCTAGGTCTCATGATGAGTTCACCGAGAGGGTTCGTCTCTTCCATGGTCTGGATCGCTTGGACGGAAAACTTCCTCATCAGGTTGGCTAGAATGACCTTATCCTCCATCATGGCGAACTTTTGACCTGTACGGGTTGAAAGGTGAGAGGTCATCATACTGAAATAAACTGAATCCTGGAATTCATAGCATTACAAACCTGAAATGAAGTAATATAAGCCACAGGACAGATCTTAAAAGGCAAGAATTACAATTCACAATCAACAGTTCCATAGATTCATTAATGAAAATATAACCAGAAAATGTTCAACTAAAACATGTTTGAATACAGATTGGCCTATATTTTCATTCATTTATTCGGTTCATCGTTCAGCTTCATGCGATTCAGGAACACCACTGACAAGTTCATGCTGCACTCCCAGTCAATACACAATTCTTTACACATAACGAATTAGTTCCTATGACCGAGCATAACGTCTACTCATCTTCTACAATTACATGTATATGAACTCTAATATGAACCATTTTTTTTTAGGAACAGAATGTGAAAGACCGCAATATAAACTACTTTGTTATTATTATTATCTACCGGTATATCAACTCACATCCCCCTCTATTCTATAGAAATCTCACATATACCAATTCAGTTCCAGGAACTAGACATTCCCTCCTGCCTTTTATTCCATATAAACAATCATAAACAATGATGACAGTTCTTAGGTTTTGTCCGTCAAATTGTCAACATGTGAACCATAGTGTGGTGAGAGTGATAGTTGTGACAAGTACTCATAGGTGTACGCAAATGTAGTCGTAGGTTAAATTAAGGAGCTCCAAAAATGTCCTGCCATGTACAATCCCTATGAGATCAGAAGTGACTCCCGCAGTCGAAACTACCTCTTGTCAACTAGCTTTAAAGTGACTCGGTAATATTGTCTCAGATTCTGAAACAAAATCCTGAATTTAGCTCATGCAGCAATGATAATTATAAACCTTTAGGTCAGTCAGGAACCCCATAACTTTTAAAAGCCGATCCGGCCTGTCTGATTATCAAGATATTTATGATTGGAAATAGAAATCATAACTTAAAATTTTCCTAGCGGTTTTTATAACACAACAGTCTATTGGGGAAAATGAGTATGGTAAAACAGGAATCTCAAATATTTTTACTTTTTGAGGCACTTTAAAAGCATTTGAGGTGCAATTGTTTAGGTCTTCAATATAACACCATATCACAGCCACTAATAACAAGTAGGGCCATGCATCTCAGATTTAAAATTGTTAAACGCTGCCTTAAATGTATAACCTCCCCCCTCTCCCATTGTAGTGCGCAGACATACCGATACAGTTCCTAGGACCCGCCGAGAATGGGACGTATGCGTAGGGGTGTCTCTTGGTCGAGTTCTCCAGCAGGAATCGATCAGGGTCAAACTTCTCTGGGTCGGGAAACTGCTCTGGATCGCGATGAAGGGCGTAGATACCCAGGACAACCAGAGTGCCTTTTGGCACCACTTTACCATCTGTGAGTAAGCAATGGAAGAAAAAGATAAAACTGTCTTCTTCTTTTTTTGACAAAGCAGATACTCTTGTGTGAACTACATGCATGAAGAGAACTTAGACTCTACAGTTGGTAAAAAGCAGGGATGTTATCAAGGCCAGCCGCTCCGAGTCATGAGGCCACTGTAAAATATTCCCTTTTGTAGGTTTTCGACTCGATGCCATGCCCATTATAGCAACAAAAGTACGACCTCAAGGTCGGACTCGATGACAACACCGGTAAAACAAGGAGTAGCAGCAGTTGTAGTAGACTTTATTGGATAACTTGTTTAGCACAAAGCTAACAGCCACAAGGACCATAAACAGCTATTTCATTAAAAGAAGAAAAAAAAATTATTTAAAATATCTAGAAAGCATATATTTACACGTTTTCTTGTATTGTGCATCAAGCTCCTTAAATTTAAGGAAGTTCCAGGGAATCAATCAGTGTCAAAAATCAAAGATTTCTCTAGGTTGATTAGAAGAATACTCAAGTACACAAGAAATTCAACTATCTTCCTGCCACCAAACCTCCCCCCCCCCCCCTACTGATATAAAACAAGACGACTTATTAGGTAACTGTTGAAGATGCACATACAGATTGGCAATCTAGTCATTTATATACATACGGTATGTATAAGATAAGAGGAGTACCTAGGCTCCTCAAAGGTTTTTGGTAACCTTAGTCTAAATGAGTAAATAGGTCCTTGCTGAATTTAGGAGGACCAAAGAAAGTTGGTTGGTCAAAAGTTTGCGGGTCAAAAGTTTATAAGTATGATAACATATTTATTACCACTGGAAAGGTAGTGTGGGGGAATTTGCCCATGGTATTTTTTCTTCTGAAGTCCTGCAGACATAACATTAGCACCACAGGTGCTAGGAAGTAGCAAGATCCTTAGGCCTGTTTTCATCAGCTCGAGATTGCCAAATATCCCGATCGCTGCCAAATATCCAATTAATTTGAGTCTTCATCAGCACGAAGTTGCAATTAGCAGGAAATATGGTCGAGATAATCATCCCAAGATATCTTGGGCTAGTTTGAAAAATATCCTGCTATTTGTCCGGTATGTCTTCACCAACCCGAAGACTCTCACCATGCGCAAACGCTGAGCAAAATATCTCAAGCTAATTTGTCAAGCTTGAGTTTAAAGTTTCGAGGTCAAGTCTTGAGCTGATGAAGACGCGATTTGTAACTTCGGGATTATTTCCCAAATCAGAAGTAGCGGGCTATTTGGCAATCTCGAGCTGATGAAAGAACCTACCTATGACACAGTCTTCCTATAGATCCCTGCCTATCATGGGCACAGAGGGACAGAGCCTTAGGGTTTCCTTGAAGACACAGTTCAGGTACTGGAATGAAAAAACCTACCTATGACACAGTCTTCCTCTAGATCTCTGCCTATCATGGGCACTGAGGGACAGAGCCTCAGGGTTTCCTCAAAGACACAGTTCAGGTATTGGAGTGAAAGAACCTACCTATGACACAGTCCTCTTCTAGATCCCTGCCTATCATGGGCACCGAGGGACAGAGCCTCAGGGTTTCCTTGAAGACACAGTTCAGGTACTGGAGTGAAAGAACCTACCTATGAAACAGTCTTCCTCTAGATCCCTGCCTATCATGGGCACCAAGGGACAGAGCCTCAGGGTTTCCTTGAAGACACAGTTCAGGTACTGGAGTGAAAGAACTTACCTATAACACAGTCTTCCTCAAGATCCCTGCCTATCATGGGCACCGAGGGACAGAGCCTCAGGGTTTCCTTAAAGACACAGTTCAGGTACTGGAGTGAAAGAACCTACCTATGACACAGTCTTCCTCTAGATCTCTGCCTATCATGGGCACCGAGGGACAGAGCCTCAGGGTTTCCTCAAAGACACAGTTCAGGTACTGGAGTGAAAGAACCTACCTATGACACAGTCTTCCTCTAGATCCCTGCCTATCATGGGCACCGAGGGACAGAGCCTTAGGGTTTCCTCAAAGACACAGTTCAGGTACTGGAGTGAAAGAACCTACCTATGACACAGTCTTCCTCTAGATCCCTGCCTATCATGGGCACCGAGGGACAGAGCCTTAGGGTTTCCTTAAAGACACAGTTCAGGTACTAGAGTGAAAGAACCTACCTATGACACAGTCTTCCTCTAGATCCCTGCCTATCACGGGCACCGAGGGACAGAGCCTTAGGGTTTCCTTAAAGACACAGACCAGGTACTGGAGTGAAAGAACCTACCTATGACACAGTCTTCCTCTAGATCCCTGCCTATCATGGGCACCGAGGGACAGAGTCTCAGGGTTTCCTTGAAGACACAGTTCAGGTACTGGAGTTTCTGAAGATCATCAGCAGTAATGGGTCTATCGCTGTCACCTGCAGGGGGAAAAATAAGAAAAGATTTTATATTAGCTGACGGGTTTTGCAAATGTGGCACAAAAAGTATCATGATATACCACAATGATAAATTTTAAACATCACCCACTCTTTAAATAAAATTGTGTTTTTTTAGTTTCAGCTATGAGTAAATCGTTGTTCATACAATCAGAAGGTTGGGTGATTTGATTCTAGTTATTCATCAACCTTGATAGGCCATTGGCCTCTGTTTTTTCCCACCACATTATGATTTAAATTGAAGAGGTTTCATTTTAACGTTTGTTATTGAATATATGCATATAAATTGTACTTGTGTTTTTTTTAATCAGATGTGGAAATAAAACTTGAACTTATATGCATTATCCCTAAAAGGCATTATAAATAACAGAAGTAATATATGAGAAACATCATCAAAGACATCAAACCTTGTTAACATATACTGTAGCAGAACCTACAAGTATTTAATATGTTAAACCTACAGAGGGAGCCGTTAGATCCCGGGGAGGACTTACCAAAGACTTCATCCAGCTCTTCATGGAGGCGGGTCTGGACCTCAGGATGGCGGCCAATCATCAAGATGGTCCATGATGCAGCTGCAGCTGTCGTATCATGGCCCTTGCAAAAAATCATTCAGAAATTTATAATTTTTTTCTGTTATTTCTCTAACAGATTATTAGATGATGATAATTATTACATGTACAGTGAAACCTGTCTATACAGACCACCCAAGGGAGACAGTAAAAAGGTTTTTGTAGACAGGTGGTTTTTACGTACAGGTTCCTTTAGTCCATGTTTCAAGGAGAAACCATTTTCAAGGGAAACAAAAAATGTGACCTTCATAGACAGATGGTCACTAAAGCAGGTTTGACTGTATTACCATTACCATCATCACCAGCACAAACATCATGATCATCATCATCCCCCTACTTATCATCATTATCAGAAGAATATCTTCCCACTATCAACACAAAGAGAGCAACAGCAAGAGTTCTAAACTTCTTAACTAATAAGAATCCGTTACAGTAACATGTTCACAACCATCGTCACCACAAAAATCACCACCATTGTTCATGTCGTCATCATCATCATCATTTTCATCATCTCATTACCGTCAGCCGTAGCATGATCATGAATATCATCATCAAAACCAGAACCATTGCCAGCCAACAATTAAACAAAAAAGCAAGGGGCAACCATCCTTTTCTTCAAAGGAGATTCTCTAAATTCACATGTCTATACTCCTCCTCATCATCATCAATATTTCATTAAGCGGGACTGCACTACTTGTAGCTACTTGCGCCCTCTATATAGCCAACAATGCCTAATCAGTACCTGTTGATCCCCCATGATCCCCTTTTTTTAATGTTAATTGAGAGCTGATTTGATGAGATAACCACCTCTCAGTGACCACGCAGGGAGGTCTAATCCCTCCTGGCCAAACTAATGCTAGCCATTACCTCAAACATGAAAGTATCCACCTCCTCTCTGATGTCCTCTAGTGTAAAACTTGGGTCCTCCCTGTGCATCTGTAGAAGGAGATCAAGGAACGCGATCCTCCTTCGTTTCCCGGCAACCGCATCTTCTTCGCTCCCATCCAGGGCTCTGGGAGGCTCCTGTAATCTTTGTTTGATGATCTAGACAGCGAAGGGGCAAGGAAGTTGAAGAGTACGATAAGTCTAATTCACTTACAAATTTACAGAAGAGAAGGAAATTAGTGCCAGATGTTTTTACTCTTTTAAAATCTGACATGTAAATCAGGAAAACATAGGAGAGGGGTATTAAAGAAAAATAGTTTTTTATAATTAATAACTTGACATATGTCTAAGTCCAAGACATTTCAGTCAGCTTTTTCAACACTCGTCAAAGATTGATGAATATCTCCCTAATCTGCTCAATATACAGATTATTTTTCTGTATCGAGAAGACTTCTGAGCTATTCTCTAATAGGTACATTGTCATTTATATGTCGCAATTGAAAGAAAAGCAACCTAACTGGTAAAGGTTCCATTGATTATATAATTGTACACACAGGTTCAATAAATTCCTTAATATTTCCAACATGATTACCACGAACAACAAAAATCAAGATAATTCCAAACAATATTAACTAAAAGCATAATAACCCGGTCCCACAGTCTAACATCAAACAACTTCGCAGACCCAGACGATTCTTCAAAGGTTTATCATCCGTATTCTCACCTTAGTTGTCATATCATGCAGTACTCTAAGGTTGTTGGCATGCTTTTTACCCGATTGGATGTTATCATAGAGTAGGTCAGGCCAGAACCAGGGCTTCTTCATTCTCTCCTGCACCAAGTTGGTCATGCTTTGATGGTGAAGCAAAAGAGACAAAAGAAAATGGAAATTGCAAAGTAGCAACTGAAAGACATTCTTATCATCCACAACATAGATGTGCTATGTACAGCAACTCGATGCTAAATTTGTATTATAGGGGGGGGGGTCAACAGTTAATATGAGCAGGTACGTAGCCATGGGGGCACTGGGGGCACGGGGGGCAAGATCAGTTGAACCTTTTTAGACCCCTTTTTGAGACCTTGATAGATTACATGTATGTTCCCCCCCCCCCCCCCCCCCCCCCCCCAAACATCAAACTCTGGCTATGGGCCTGAATATGGGAGCCATGTTTACTAGTTGTCTCTCAGTGTCAAGCCCTAGCTAGAACAGGGGCGGATCCTGGGGGCCCCCACCTATGGCCCCCAAAATAGGTTTAAAACAAGATGGTAATGATGGGCCCAATTCGTGAGAAAATGTTTTGACAGAGAATAAAGAGGAAAACAGAAGAAAACAGACAGTGACAAACAGTCATAGAGAGATAAAAGAAAATGTTGGGAACAAATCTAGGTCACATCAGCTTAAATTATCATACCTTATTACAGCTGTAACATATTCGTTATCCCCCTCTCCCTGAGCGTTTATAGACTTCCCCATGGCAGTATCTGAAAGACAAAAATTAATCAAGATATAAGAGCTTGGGACAAAAGTTTGCCAAACTTTCTGGATATTGGTTTAGTATCCATGGGAATCATTTGCACTATCCATGGAAACATTGTTGATATGGAAATAGACACATAGACACACACACACATACATACACACAATTTCAATGTGACTTTATGAAATAAATATACAAAATAGCACAAAATCTAAATGTGAGTTATATCTAATTGTATCATACATGTTTTTATCAAATTCAACGAATTAAAGGTCTATTTTATCAGATAAAAAAGAATAGGTTTGATGTTAAAGTGAATGCAACTTTCAGCAGCATATCCTTTTAATTAAACATGTCCAACTAAATTTGTAGAGCTGATTTAAATTCTATAAACAGTCTAGGGAACAGTCAACATTTACGAATTTTTAGCTAGTTTTTCCGCCGATTATATCATCTACTTCTGATAGATGTAAACAGACTTGAATGAATCCTAGACAATTTCAACAAGCTTGTACCTCTGTCTTTTTTGTATCAGTTGGTGACTTGGTGCATATGTCCTAAATCAATAATTGATAAGTAGATAGTAACTAGTACCGGTATAAAAGTTTGGATGTGATCTAATTCAAGAGATTTCAAAGTCTACACTTCTGGATTAATATTTACTTTAAGGTTTAAACAAAACAAAACAAAATTATCTTTTACTTGTTTTTCTTATCAAACCCTAGCCGAGAATATACAAACTAATCTTTATCCATAGCATCTTTGAAAATGATATCTACAAACACTAATGAAAATCAAAAACTACATACTAGTAGTGCTGCCATAACAAGGATGATAATAATGAGAAGGACATAATTACGTACAAAAAAAACAAATTGTTATTACAACTAATAGTCATGTTCTGGATTTAGATAGCAATTAATATGGGTCTGCAATGTCTCCTTAGAAGCACTTTATCTGTTATCACAACATCTATAACTTTAAAATATGAGATTTAGCATAAATTCTCCAGTGTAAATTTCACAGAGAAAAAGATCCTGCTCACATGAAAAGCATTCTCTTCAAAACCTTGTTTACATATGCTGTTGTAAGCCACCACAGTAAGCTTCAATGGCAAATTGCTGAGACAGAAGAAAGTGTCATACGCTGAACATTACTGTATCTCATAACATGTACAAGTGAAAGATACAAGTAGGTAAGCATATGTAGGACCTTTGTTGTGCACAGCTTCTTGTTTTTCATAGCCACTTGCAATTCAATAGCACATTTTTTTTAATGACAGTTTTTTTCTTAAATGTTACAAAGGTCCTTGTCCTACACATATTCACTGAGCTCTGTGTTAGAAGATGCAAAAATGTGAAACTTATTAGTTTAATTGTATGTTAACAATTTTTTTTAAATGAGCCTTAAATCCGTATCTTTTACTGTGTCAAGTGTGAGTGTGCCGTTACGAGAAAACCTTACCACAAATGATATCAAGAACACAGTAGGTGATTTGTGGGAAGATGTTGAAAGGCTCCGATTGGTCGGCAAACTTCTCCATCTTCTTTGCCATGATAAAGCTCTGCTCGTTGAAGACGTCCATGAAGTTTTGGAGAATGGAGAAATGGAAGGTTGGGGTGAGTAGCTTCCGGCGGTGAAACCATTTCTGTCCCGTACTGACAAGAAAAAACAAATTAAAAGGAAAATGTTGATATCATAAAGTGTCTATGTCCACCTAAAAAAGGCTTTTAAAAGAACTACCCAGTATATTTTTTGCACCTGTTCCCTTAAACACAACACCCATCCCCCCACCCCCCCCCCCCCCCCCCCCCCATCCTCAACAAGATGTCAGTCTATTCTTGCAAAGGGACACAGTAATGCTCTTCTGTGCCTGCAGCCTCATTATCGTCCACTGTACCTCGTAATTTCTCTACTTTTTAAAAACTCAATGGCTTTAAGATGTGAATGACAAACTAATGATACTGATTACATTTTGCAATGACATTCTTATCATCGATGTGGTGACAAAACCTTGTAACTCAATTTGTGGACACTTTTATTTCTTTTCTGTATAATTTACTGTTCTGATAACCCCTTGTAATGCATACATGTGTCTGCAAAAACAATGTCACATATCTCTTGGCTTTACTTAATCAAAAATATAGGATAGTAGTTAGGGCTGCAATAGGGTTTTAAGTTTGGTTTAGGGTTAGGGTTATGTAAAGTGTTAAGCCAAGGGTTGAAGTCAGGAGTTTATTATGACTATGATTAAAGCATAAAAATCAACCTACCTGGTCAGTAAACCACGGCCAAGCCAGGGATGTAAAAAGGTATAGACATAACCTTTCTTGATATGCCTGCTGCTACTCATAACAACCTACCAGATATAAGGGGGAACATTTTGTCACAGGCTTTTATTTTCTTGACCATGAAGCAAGCTTTTTATATTTAACTACACTTCAATATATGTAAGCTTTACATCCGTAATAACTTAAGATCTTTTTTATTCTAAATTGTAATTCTTTTTAATTCTTTGTTGGCTCTCTTTGATTCATTAATTTTGTTGTTGTTTCTCTTTGATGTAGAATTATCAGATATTGCATTCAACTGTTTTTAAACATGATACATTACAATATATATATCAAACTAGTGGCGAACGCAGGATTTTTTCAAGGAAGGTGTTTGAAAATTTGAAAATTGTGCTGACCTATATTTTGCTCAGTGGAGGGGGGGGGGGGGGGTAGTGAGCAACAATTTGTTATTCTTTTTGCCCTCCAAAAATTTGAAAATCGCGCCGACCGATAATTCATTCAGTGGGGGTAAGGAGAGAACTAATTTTTTGGGGGGCCCCCGCAAATGTGAAAATCGCGACCGATACTACGCTCAGATGGGGGGGGAGGTAAGGTGTATTCATTTTTTTTCAAAAAACAAAACAAAACACCCTCCAACCCTGCGTACGCACCTGATATAACATAATTTTTTCTACTTGTGTGGCAGTGTGCAAAAAAGCATGGTTTGCAGACTCATATCAAATATGATACAGCAATGTGAAGTAGGCCTACTATATACCAATGCCATTACAAGAAACCGTTGCAGTTTACCCCATCATATGTTAAGTTGTGGATAAGCTTAGTGAATAAATAAATAAATAAATATATATAGTGACATACATACTGTCACGAAATTGGTTTCATTTCGTAGATAGTTATTTCGGCGTAGATGGCGTAATTCAAGTTAAATATACGACGCTAAAGTTACGTGTTAATTCAAGAATGTTTGATTGTGCATGTTTTTGACAGTTTTAGTGTAATTACTTTTCTATCATTAATAATTACTTGTTCTCTTTTGTTTAGTTTTATAGAGTAAAACTAGTGCTTTTATTTGATATATGGTTTGTTTCAATCTGATATTGGAAAGTGGAGTTATATCAATGTTTATGTAATTATTGGAAACCTAACGAGAATAATAAGTGTATAAGAAATGTGTATATAAATCAAGTGTCTCACTTGTCTGTGAGCTTCCTGTCATAGTCTACATAATTGCCGTCGCCCACTGGGCACACTTACATTGTAAGGCAATCAGATTATGTTTGGATATTTGCCCAATAAAGTATTGCGTGCAACGAAATGATTGAGATGATCGTCTGCATGTCTTTCCATGGGGAAACCTAAAGTTGAAGTCTGATTTTAGGTGACGACCATGGTAAGAATCTAGGTTGAGTTTGTTGGGTCTTTTACGTTCTAGTATTAGACAATACCAGGGACTACTGTGTAGCAGAGCCAGTGGCATGGTCGAGTAAGCTGACTGTACGAAGTCAGACGGTCTGGTTGTTTGGAGGTGCATGAAGCAAACTGGTGCGACCAATTGGAGTTGCATGCACAAGCAGACTGGTATAGACGTCTGGAAGGTGCATGAAGCAAACTGGTGCGGCCAATTGGAGTTGCATGCACAAGCAGACTGGTATAGACGTCTGAAAGGTGCAGAAGCGGACTGGCCTAGTTGGCTTGTGGTATACGACGGTACAACGGTTGGTAGAAGACGGTGGTCGAGAGGTGGTGCGGAGCAATATATCAGACTGGTGTCAACGTCAACGGGGCAGTATATTTCTGCCAAACGGATCCACGGTAAAATTGGTACCGGACCAGAAAAACCTACCAGCAGAAGGCATCCTGACAAGAGAAGCTGCTGGGAAGAACATCGACAGGAACCGGTTTCGTTACATGTGGTGTCAGAAGTGGGATCCAGTGACAATGGCACAAGGAAGAAATATGCAGAATCGACCAACGCCAGGAGAAATGATGACGCATTTAGAAAGCAGTATGACAGAAATAGATCAAATGATGGAGCAACTACGTGCTTCGATGAGGCAGGCACCAGTTGCAGACTCAGAATCAGGTCGCCAGGAGGCATTTTCCCCAACTCTGAGTGGACAAACTGCATCAGGACCAACAGCAGATTCACAGATGCCAGCGGCACAGTGGGTTAGATTTAGTTCAACGCCCCGAGAACAAAGTAGGCGGCTGCCTACTGCAGGAACTGGAGTTCACATTACACCACCGCTTTTCTCTCCACCTATGCAGGATGTGGGGAGGGCAAATGATGCAGTAATCGGCAGACGGCCGCATATGGTACCAGACAGATTTGACGGTCACACTCCTGTCGAGGATTACTTGCACCATTTTGAGGCATGTGCTGGAGTAAACAGATGGACCAAAGTAGAAGCAGTGCAGTTTCTTGCTGCAAGTTTGAGAGGATCTGCTGTGAAGTTGTTAACCCAACAGCCTGGAGTGGATTTGACGTACGACGAGTTGGTATACAGACTCAAGAACCGGTTTGGTCTTGGAGGCAAAGCTGAGGTATACCTAGCAGAGTTGAGACAGCGTCGTCGGCAACCAAAGGAGAGTCTCCAAGAATTAGGACAGACAATACGGGAGCTGTGTGCTTTGTCCTACCCCGAGTTCGACGAAAAAGGACAAGACCGACTAGCCCGTGGGCATTTTCTGGATGCCGTAGTAACACCAGAAATAAGAGAAGGATTGTTCCGTGCTCAACCTCGCACGCTTGATGATGCCGTGGAAGCAGCTTTAAATACAGAGGCCTTCCTGAGGATGGAGGGTCAGAGAAATGAAGTGAAGCGTTCAACCACGTACAGTCGAGCACTGGAAGAGTGTGAGGTTGCAGCCATCCGTGAACAGCAACCAAGGAATCCTACTATGGATGAGATAGTAGAGAAGGTATTAGATGCCTTAGACATGAGAAATGGGTGGAATACGATTAAACCAGATGTACCAGATAGGAGACCGGAACAAACCATGCCAACTAAAGTCTCAGAACGGGAAGATAACCGGTGTTTCAACTGTAATGAATTGGGACACTGGAGGAACCAATGTCCTTATCCAAGGAAAGTTAGGGGAGGAACAGCACCACCAGCAGCAGAGAAAGCAAATACAAACTTGCAGTGGGCAACTGCAAATGGGATGACAGATGAAGAGGAGCAGACCAGAGTTGGTTCGTCTCAGGATCCTAACAGGAAAGGACTTTTCCTGGAAGGGAAAATCAATGGACAGTCCTTGAAATTACTGATCGACACCGGAGCCACCAACACTTTGATTTCAGATAAGGTGTTTGACCGGATAGAGGATAATAGAAGACCTGAGTTATTACCAGTGACCAGCGTGGTACTACAAGCAGATGGGACCCCGTTGAGGACCAGAGGTAAATCAAGACTGGAAGTGCAGATCGGAGATTCACTTGTCACTACAATGGTTACTGTGGCCAGCCTCAAGAACGAAGGCATTCTTGGGCTAGATTTCCTAGTTCAAATTAATGCTGTACTTGACTGCCAGAAGATGGAATTGAGGACCGAGTGGGGCATAATTCCATGCCTAGATAGTGAAGGAGAATCATTCTGCAGAAGGATAGTAGCGGGGAAGGAATACTCGATTCCTCCAGGACACGAAATTGTGCTAGCAGACAGAGTAACAGGTAACAAGGTAGCACTTTGTGAAGGACTGGTAGAATCTCCTGTGAACCCAACCGAATCATGGAAAAAGGGACCCATTGTTGCCAGATCTGTCGTGAAGGCAGATGAAGACGTGTTGCCTGTCAGGGTGTTCAATCCAACCAAGAAACAGAGGATCATAAAGGCAGGCACTGCCATTGCCTCATTGTCAGCGCTGGAAAAAGTGGGCACAGAAATGTGCAACCAGACGATGCCCACTGAAACCAGTACCAGCAGAAACATGCCATCCGACAAGCAGAGAAACAAGGACGTTGATGCCCGACGTACGACTACCAACTTCTTTCAATGTGACTCTTGTACCAAAAGTTATGAGAAGAAAGACTCTTTGCAAAGACACAAGCGGGAAGTGCATATCCTGAAGTATCGTTGCGACCAATGCGATTATCGCACGGGTAGGAAGACGGAGATGGAGCGGCATCAGGGAGCCCACGATGTAGCTGTGGTTCCCGTGAGAAAACACAGCTTAACACCTGTTTCTTCGCCAAGATGCAAACCCACTTCCACGCCAATAACAGGGACCTCTGAAAAAGCTGATGCATCGTGGCGTCATGTAAGAATGGACTGGCGGTCGCCACCACGTGATGATCCAAGATTGGACCGACCTCGAGGGAGGTCACCACGTCGTTACCGCTCATCGCGACGAAAATCCAAATCGCCCCAAAGAGACCTAACGAAATCGTCATGTCAAAAGACCCCGGAGTCTCCACAGCATGATGGATCGGAAGCTTCCTCTCGACATAGCCGACAATCTACGCCCGAACCAGAAGAAGAGTTGGATAACGACGAAAGGTCCCCTTCACCACTTGACTTGCGATATTCATCTAGGAAAATGGCGTCGGAGACTGCATGGGCTAGTGAGTGGACTGAAATTGCTAGTAAGAATGCTGAAACTCAAACTGACACTGATAGTTCTCGTTAAAGAATTCAGTCAGTACTGCATGAACTTAGAACCGCTGGTTCCGGTGGGAAGGATACCTAGATGCCCATGGACGTTATTTTCTGTAAATGTGTTATATGCAGTTTGTAAATTGTTGTTAGATATCGCTCGGGGACCGAGCTAAGGAAAATAAGGGAGTTGTGTCACGAAATTGGTTTCATTTCGTAGATAGTTATTTCGGCGTAGATGGCGTAATTCAAGTTAAATATACGACGCTAAAGTTACGTGTTAATTCAAGAATGTTTGATTGTGCATGTTTTTGACAGTTTTAGTGTAATTACTTTTCTATCATTAATAATTACTTGTTCTCTTTTGTTTAGTTTTATAGAGTAAAACTAGTGCTTTTATTTGATATATGGTTTGTTTCAATCTGATATTGGAAAGTGGAGTTATATCAATGTTTATGTAATTATTGGAAACCTAACGAGAATAATAAGTGTATAAGAAATGTGTATATAAATCAAGTGTCTCACTTGTCTGTGAGCTTCCTGTCATAGTCTACATAATTGCCGTCGCCCACTGGGCACACTTACATTGTAAGGCAATCAGATTATGTTTGGATATTTGCCCAATAAAGTATTGCGTGCAACGAAATGATTGAGATGATCGTCTGCATGTCTTTCCATGGGGAAACCTAAAGTTGAAGTCTGATTTTAGGTGACGACCATGGTAAGAATCTAGGTTGAGTTTGTTGGGTCTTTTACGTTCTAGTATTAGACAATACCAGGGACTACTGTGTAGCAGAGCCAGTGGCATGGTCGAGTAAGCTGACTGTACGAAGTCAGACGGTCTGGTTGTTTGGAGGTGCATGAAGCAAACTGGTGCGACCAATTGGAGTTGCATGCACAAGCAGACTGGTATAGACGTCTGGAAGGTGCATGAAGCAAACTGGTGCGGCCAATTGGAGTTGCATGCACAAGCAGACTGGTATAGACGTCTGAAAGGTGCAGAAGCGGACTGGCCTAGTTGGCTTGTGGTATACGACGGTACAACGGTTGGTAGAAGACGGTGGTCGAGAGGTGGTGCGGAGCAATATATCAGACTGGTGTCAACGTCAACGGGGCAGTATATTTCTGCCAAACGGATCCACGGTAAAATTGGTACCGGACCAGAAAAACCTACCAGCAGAAGGCATCCTGACAAGAGAAGCTGCTGGGAAGAACATCGACAGGAACCGGTTTCGTTACAATACATTCATACAAACAGATAAATATGCACATACGTAGTACGTACACCAATTATGTATGTTACATTTGACAGTGAGTTGAATATTTAATAGCATAGCTTGGCTATAACTGGAATAATAATGTCCAAGCGCCATGAGCATCACAGTATGATGGATATGAGCACTATACAAAGCCAGCAGCACCAACATCATCGTCATTAGTACTACTACTACTATTATTATTATTAATAGAAGTAGTAGTAGTAGTAGTATTAGTGGTGGCGGTGGTAGTGGTGGTAGTAGTAGTAGTAGTAGTACTAGTAGAAGTAGTGGTGGTAGTGACAGTGGTAGTGGTAGTAGTAGTGGTAGTAGTGGTGGTGGTAGTGATAGTGGTAGTAGTAGTGGTAGTAGTGGTAGTAGTGGTAGTAATGGTAGTAGTGGTAGTAGTAGTAGTAGTAGTAGTAGTAGTAGTAGTAGTAGTAGTAGTAGTGGTAGTGGTGGTGGTAGTGGTAGTAGTGGTAGTAGTAGTAGTAGTGGTAGTAGTGGTAGTAGTAGTAGTAGTAGTAGTAGTAGTAGTAGTAGTAGTGGTAGTGGTGGTGGTAGTGGTAGTAGTAGTAGTAGTAGTAGTAGTAGTAGTAGTAGTAGTAGTAGTAGTGGTAGTGGTGGTGGTAGTGGTAGTAGTGGTAGTAGTGGTAGTAGTGGTAGTAGTGGTAGTAGTGGTAGTAGTGGTAGTAGTAGTAGTAGTAGTAGTAGTAGTAGTAGTAGTAGTAGTAGTAGTGGTAGTAGTGGTAGTAGTGGTAGTAGTAGTAGTAGTAGTAGTAGTAGTGGTAGTAGTGGTAGTAGTGGTAGTAGTAGTAGTAGTAGTAGTAGTAGTAGTAGTAGTGGGAGTGGTGGTGGTGGTGGTGGTGGTGGTGGTGGTGGTGGTGATGGTGGTGGTGGTGGTGATGGTGGTGGTGGTGGTGGTGGTGGTGGTGGTGATGGTGGTGGGGGGTGGTGGAGGTGGTGGTAAGGGTAGTGGTAGTGGTAGTAGTAGTAGTAGTAATAGTAGCAGTAGTAGTATCATCATCATCATTATTACTATTATCATTATAAGAAGTAGTATTAGCATTATAACCATCATCATCCTCGCCAAGTACTACAAGTATTATAATGAGTTTAAGTGTTAGTAATTTTTAATAGTTGGCTATTTTTGCTGGTTAATTTTTTTAGAGAAACCCCCTCACCTCAAAATCTCGACAGTTAAAGGTAAAACAGACAGGAACCGGGCCAAGCCATAATCTCATTCTACCGTTGGACTTTGGTCTGTACTCATTCACCCAGTCCTCTATCTGCATGAAAAATTCTGAAACATGAACAGAGAAATGCACAAAAGCGTACTGTCAAACCGCAAACTTTCGCAAAATGGAGCTGATGGCTTCTTTCGCCGCATGAAATTTTCACAAATTGTGGATCTTAAAAAATAACATCTTTAAGCAAACTTTATGCAAACAAAACAGGGGGAAAATGCAAACAAAACTGGGAAGAAAAATAATCAACGAAAACAAAACACACGAACAAAAAACACATATACAAAAAGACAAAACTTTGGCTATTGCTACTTCATGTACTTTGCCAAAAGTTACCAAATACACTCTCGATACCAGCTAAAAAATTGAAAGAAATGATCTTCATGCAACAATTCAAAGACAAAATGGGTTAGTGCGTGCTGCAGGGGTTTAATATCATGTTCAGACTACATGAAATTTTAAAAAACCTTGTATAACAAATCATCGTATAGAAAGAATAGCGTACGGACTACAAAACAACATCGTAGAAAGAAACGTTGTATAAGTTAAATTTGGAGAGGTCGATTGACACAACAGCTGGCCAGTCATTAGGGCAAGTTCATGATAAGCCACGCCAAGTTTTACGTTTTTCATATAATAACAACGTAAAGATAAGAGCGGGACCCTGAATCTCTAACAGGGTTTTGTTCGAAACGATGCTCAAACCTGCATTTCGTTAAATGTTTCTGCTCATTCTTATCGTATTTTGGTAGTCTGAACACGAGGAACACAAGGTTGATGATTTCATGTGGTGTGAGTAACATAGTACTACCTCCATGTGCTGGGCCTTGTATACTCCAAGCAATGGCATGGGTCCGAGCCACAATCGCATTATGCCTTTGGATTCATATCTCTTCATCCATTCCTCCTGCTGCTTGAAGAACTCTGTTTTTCATACAAATTGGCAAGTTTAAAAAAACTGAATGCAAGCAGTGATTACGTATTTACATGCCTGGCGTTTGAAGGCTAGCAGTAACAAGCTCATAAATACACAGAATTAAAAAATTATTTCTTTTTTTTTGCTAGATGAATTTTTAATTAAATGTCACTTCTTTTACTAGATGAGGTTTAAAGCCCTACTGCATTACTTGTAGCTACTTGCGCCCTCTATTTAGCAAACAATGTCTAATCTGTGACCATTGGTCCCCCATGATCCTCTTTTTCTTATGTTAATTGAGGATGAGATAACCACCTGTCAGTGACCATGCATGGAAGTCTAATCCCTCCTGGCCAAACTAGTGCAGTGACTCCTGGCAGTGAGGCTTTAATGAATGGTTGATATGCTTGAAAAATGACGCGCAAGCTTGGCAACTTCTTGATGTGCGAGCATGATAGTTGTACCTCTACAAACTCTGCCTTGCATAAAATAACGATAGGTACAGGCCCCAGCCAGATACGGAACATGCCCTGGGACTGGAACTCTTGAGTCCATCCTACCAGTTGCTTGAAGAACTCTGTCTCAGGAAAAGGACAAAGAAAAGAACCACAGCCCTTTTTTGCCGATAAACCAGTTTACGGTTTCAGTCTGAGCATGAGCAGATAAAGGTCGTTTGTACCAAAAAGGTAAAACCCACAGAGATGAATACTGGATATGCACTCATGAAAGTTATGTAACATTATTACTTTATGCACCAGCGGTACATTCTAAGATATGCAAGTGCATGTATTCTTTTCAAGAGGGCAAACAAAAGGTATTCATTTTTTTATTTATTTATTTATTTATTTCTAATATTTTGACAGGGTAGCCCATTCACCAACAAGTAGTGGTCTTCCATGGGGCCCTGAATGAACATATTTACATCGTTTATAACATTTATACAGAACAGTTACAAAAATAATACTTGTTTGCAAAATAAATATAATCATTAACCTAGTAAACAGTAATGTCAATAGGAAAATATTAATTAAGTCGCAATTATGTGAATAAGTCATGTAAATATTACAGAACATGCACGTAGTGTATGAACGGCTGAGCCATTCACAAATTACAACTTTGTTTAAACAATCTCTTAAATGAATTGACAGAGGAAGCCGTTCTCAATGAATTATCTAGCTTATTCCATTCAAATATGGAAGAAACAATTGGGCTACACTTATAACAATCAGTGTGAAATCTAGGCACACGTAAACATCCACTGTCTATTTGCCTATTTGAAGCACATCTAGGACTTTGGCAGTTATAATTCTAAGATGCTCAAAGTGGAACTTCTCCATGTGAAAAAGATCTGTGGATATTTGGGGTCATTTGTACCATGTGCTATCTGTAAACTCCCTTATTGCTATACTGTAAGTGGTCAAATGCTAGTACACATACAACCTATAAAGCTAACTTGTCCCATCAAACTGCAATGAGCTCATGGACAGTCTATTGTGTAGAAAGTAGAAATATAAGTTTAACGCTATCTAGCCCGAGCTATTTTGAAACTGCATTGCCGGGGGGGGGGGAGCTTCTAAGGCCCCCCCCCCCCCTATGATCTCAGCCATTGAACAGCTGATCACCGGGAAAATGGTAACATAATTTTTTTTGAAAAATACACTTATTTGCATATTTATGGTAAATTATGCAAATAAGGTAATAAAATTCACATTTTTACCCATAAATCATATATTCTTCATATCTAATCATTAGTTTTCACTTCACCATTTGGGATAATAATCCACCAAAAAAATTGGAAGAGCCAGGTCATTCCTTATATTTTCTATTGATTTATTAATTTCTAATGTATTTCTTTGTATTCAATGTTTTTTCAAAAATACATTTTTTTAATTTGTTTTCCTGCTTTGTCATGGTATGACAAGCATAAAGCCACTGGTAAAAAGATTTTTAGAAATAGGGGCGAATAATCTGATTTTTTTTTTAAATCTCACACCCACCTCTTGCATCTTGATGGAATAAATGGGCGTTGCCGACAATCGGGAGGGCAGGTGGTCCGTCAAACTTGCTGATGAGATGGAAGACACGCAGGATCTTGGCCAGGAAGTATGTCAGGATGGCCGAGAGGGTGACGATGACCGATACGACTCCGATGCTGACCGCCATGGCTGTCTGCTATTAGTGGAGTTCTGCAAGAATATAAATGCATAATCAATCATAGATCTACATGGACATTTGCCACTCTCGACCCAGGTGTGGAACAAGGTACCTGGTAGGAAGTAAGTACCTCATGACAACTTACAGTCTACAGTCAGGTGAATGAGTAGTAGTGCTTTGCAGGTTTGCATTTAAGTTCCCAAGTGCCTTGGGTATCACCTGTGGACAGTATTTTTTTTAAAACACCAACAATCAATTTTCATATCATAAGAGTCCTTTCCTCAACATTCTAAGCTTTCATTTGAAAGATGCAGATGACTTTGCTGAGCAGGTATTAGTGAAGATATAGTGCTTCAAATTGAAGAACAGGTGCAATCTTTTACAAGCTCTGTGAAGAGCTTTGATACTCTCCGCCCCCCCCCCCCCCCCACCGCCCCCTTCTCTCTCTCTCTCTCTCTCTCTCTCAAAGCTAAAAGCTCAAAGTGCTCCAATAATACCTTGCTTTACTGAGGCTTCAGTTTGACCAAGTAAAATTCATTCCCAGTTTCTTGTCCAGATCTTTGAAAAGTGAGGTTATTTTTGCTTCATAGCAGTGGATCTTAGATCAGATACAAGGCAAAGTTCAATGATGCTCTTCCAACTCCTATTATCTAATTGCATGCAACTTTATGAACTGATTTAGGTTTAATTGGTACTTGACGGCAAAACTAAATCAACCTTAACAAATGACATTGTATGACTGACCTTTGATCACCACTAGCCTTCACTACTGTTGTCATTAGACTGCATTTGTTCAAGCCTTTAATCTGTGTACAATTAATAATTGACAGTTTGAAATGTAATCTAGACAGCCTTTTCCAAAGTGTCTAGGGGGCCTGTATTCTGATAACTGTATTATCTTTATTTTATGTTAGGGAAAATGAAGTTAACCGTCAGAGCAAACTGAAATTAAGCAGAATTAACACTTATCGTTGGTGTTTAAGAAGATGTCTCTTTTAACTTTCGTGAATGCAGCAAGCTTTCCGCAGACATTAACCAATGGCTTGTCCTATTTATTTATTTTTTTGGACTTAATAAACATTTACAGTAGGTTTGCGGTTGCACCATGTGAGAGATTAAAAACAAACCTACTGTATACCTGTATCTACATCACCATGCAAGCCGACACCTACAAGCAGCATTTAATCAACATTGTTTATCAACATAAAGATGACATCTTTTTCAGTCAGACGTGAACGATTAAATCTCCCCACTCTAGTGTTCAGGAGACTCGGCAGTGATGTTATTTAAGTCTTCAAAATCATGCATGTCTTTACTTCACACACTAATGATCCAAGCTCTTCAAAACAGGGGCATCTACAATCAATAGTTTAAAATTTAAAGCAGAAGTTATGCTTTACTCTTTAAAAAGTATATAGATCTGCAATAGATTCATAAGGACAATGAGGTAATGCATTTCTGCCGATTAATAAACTAAACATTCCTGACGATACAAAGGAACGAGTTTCGTTTAAAAGATTTGGACAATAGCATTTTCTTATTAATTGGCAAAATTACAATTACCCAATTGACTTTTGCATATTTTTTCATAGACCCCGATAAGTGGATATTAACTGATATATAGATTCAAATATTCAGCTCATTAGGATTCCTATTCAACATTGACAGCAGCAGTCAAGACTCAATATGATGAGATAGGAGGGTTGTGATCTGGACACTTGAAAGGAAAATCCTAAGCGAAGTACTCTGAAAGAAAAATTAGGGGACGAGATTGGTGAGGTTTGATTGAAATCAAACAAATAATAAGAAAGTTTTTAATTTGTAAAAGTTGTTATCACTATGCCAACGGAATAGGTAATGTCACTGTGATGTAGTGGCGGTCAACTCTCTGATTTGTTCCAATACACAAAATTACTGAAACATCAATTATGCGAATTTGATGCTGCCTTTACGACAATAGCGATTAGCAGATTAGTTTAGTGTACTTTGGTGCGTGCAGGGAGCTTTACAGAGCTCCCTGTGCATGCCTTTTTATACTAATCGCTATTGTATCAAATTGGCAACGATAAATCATCCATTTTCGTGTACACTGCATTTGTTTGCATTTCTGGCAGAATCAACATTGCCAGCTCTCATCAGACGGAGGAAAATCAGCAGCAGTTTCTTCCCTTTTTCTAAGTGATTTTAAGCTTGAATCAGCTGGAAAATACACAACTGATTTATAACATCCAGTTACTGAAACAGTAGGACTTCTGAGGCGTTATTCAAAATGAAGTCTTTTAATTTATAAACAATAATTTTCTATATTTTTCTGCCATTTGCATGATTTGGTTATTTGTACATGTACATGTACATGTGCAGGATACGCATTAGCATTGACCACTCACTCCAGCAAAGCATAGAGAGTCAATGCTAATCCGTATTGACCTCTAGCACTGCACTACGTGTTAATAGGCAGCATTTGCACACATGAATAGTCAATACACTCGTAATACACAAATGCTCACAATCATGACGATGTGGCTGATCGGCAAGTTTGACAGTAGACTTAGATCTACAATTTGAATTTTTTAATTATTCTTTCTAACGTAGACTCTACATCAGTAAGTTTTAAAGATTGTATTTTAGAGTCTACTGCTATTTAAGTGTCATCAATTGACACTAAATTGATTTCAGTCAAAATTGGTACTTTAGCTTAACTTCTAAAGTACTGATTTCGAGTGAATCAGTTGAGTTTTGTACAGTGCCAGTGGTGTTTGAAATGTTGAGAATGAATGGCACAGCTTTTAATACAAGGCAAGGCCAGGATAGTGCAGCTATGCATGTCACTGTCTGGCCACTATGCTTTACAACTAGACTATACTAGTGTATTAGTAGTGCAATTGCGGGCAGGTATGACTATGGAATGGATGACAATTAAATCTATTTCAATATTATCACCAAGTCAATCAGTCATCACGCATCACGCAACTGCAAGATCAAGATTTTATAGGGAACGATACTGTACAGAGATGTTGACATGTGGGACTGAGGATGAAAACATACACACAAAAATAACACAACTTTCAGGTATTCTCTTTTTCAAAACAAAAAGAAAGTTGATGATAAGATAATGTTAATGGAGCTGAATAGAGAGAATTAATAAACAACATATTTCTCACCAACTTCGCCAAATTTGCTCTCACGACAGGACCACTACCTACATGTATCTTCACTTTCTGCACTTAACAGAGTTGTGCAATTTTATATTCAAATGTTTGGGTCTAGCGCCATCTATCGAGTACCGGGCCGTGCCAAGTTAATTCACCGTCTTTGCCAATGATTTTTTTGGGGGGGGGGGGAGGGGGTGACTGTTGGTTGAATCGGCGGGGAGTGCACACCTGTGCATCCCTATGTCGCCACACAAATTCACTTATATATCTGCAATAATCTTCAGCAGTGAAGGAGGCAGATTATCCTTAAGGAGAATAAGAAGAAGAGTGGGGGGCACCCGTTGCAATGCCCTATAAATGGTTGAATGCCTTTCTCTTTTTTCCCCCTTTTCTTTTTAAAATCTATATCATACCACTACAGTTCATCAGCGTATGACATAATTTCATGGCTGGGGGGAGGGTGGGGTCTAGGGGTCCATGCATGATATGCTGAAATACCAATGGAGGAGGGAAGGGGAATGAAAACTGTTGATGAAATATTGACGTGTTGAGGTATTTTATTTATATTAATAAGAGTATATTTTTAGCCGAATTTTGTATTTCAAAAGTCTAAGACATGTTTCCATTATCAGTCTACATGTTTGCTCTTGTTATGTTTTATCATATATCGTAATATTTTACCATTTATTAATTTCTTTACTGTTTTAAATTGTATTTTGATTGTATTGTGTAATACAGTGCTCTCTTGCAAAGCAGTTTTCATGTACTGAAGAGACTACCCTGTCTAAAGATCACAGAATAAATCATTGTTAATAAAGAAATGGTATACAACTCGGATATTTTAATTTTTGAACAAGAAAAACTTCTAAACCCCGCCCACCATCCACACTCCTTACACCTACCACCCCCTCCCCCCCCCCCCCCCCTCTTTATTCCTCGCTCAGATACCCGTGTTTAACGCAGAAAAGGGTCTTGCCGCCGTCGGCTTGGAGCCCACTCAAAGGCTAAGTGAAATAGAGTGGAAAATTTCGTAATCACGAGAAAATTATTCTGGGGATCGGAAACAACCCGAGTAGAATGAAATTCGGGAACAATGGCCCCCACTTTTCTCTTAAACACACTTCAAGAGTTTTTTGTTTTTTTTCAAGTGGAGGGGGTAGTCAAACAAAAAAGAAAGAGTGGAAGAATAAAGAGAGAGAGACCGAGAGAGAGAGAGAGCGAGAGAGAGAGAGAGAAGGAGAAAGAATGAAGTCATGGGGAAGGAAACAAAAATCGGTAAATCTTTTCCGGTTGGTACCATGTCGGTACTTAGTGAATTCTTTTGATGACAGAGCAAGACTTAGCCCATTAATATCAATCCATTTGAGTTTAGACCAACGAATATATTTCGGACCAAAATAGTGTGAAACTCCAAAACAGTAAGAACCATGAAGTGACGCGTTCCCACTAGCCATGTATATCCATGCACTCCATGACCGAGACGATATTCTCAAGTGCATCAATGAACACTCTTCCAAAAAAAAATTGTTTCTTTCTCGTTCTTTTATTTTTTATTCTATTTTAAATTTGCGATTAAGGTAAATCAGCAAACAAACCATAACAAAGTTTGACATGGATCGGCTGAAGGATATAAAGCTGTGAATCGTTGACATTTGAGGCCTATAACTAATGTATGTTACGCTGATAGAGTCTTTTTTTTAGGGGGGGGGGTCAATTTCCAAATGTCATTGGGAGCATAAAGTATAAAAAAAAACTTTTGTTTTCTTTGTTTGCACAAGGCATTTGACCATTCGATTTCATATTCATATTCTATTTGATCTAGACTTCAGCTCCTGTGTTTATAATACCACACTAGTAAAGCTGATTCGAAAATGAGGAAGGGAGGGGTTTCCACGTAATTTGATATGATATATTTTCTGTATTTAGAAATTTTATGTGCTCAATTTCACCACAAGTTTCGTTTATTTAAATTCTATTCGTACATGCTCTACTCAGGCTAAAAGCAATGTGCAATCACAATATATTAATGAGTTTTGTCGACCCCATCGTCTATAATTATTTTCTCAGATTGTAATTTATTCAATCTCGGAATTAAATTATCATATTTAAATAATGCGGCGGACAGAAGAAATGAAGGAGAGGGAAGATATATTTAATAAAAAAAATAATTCTGCCTTGATGTCTTTCCTTCTGTTTACGGACCAAGTCCGTATATTGAAGTTTACATGGTTTTTGAGAGCTCTTTGCATTTCCTGTGCTGTGATCGAAATCTAATACTGCGATTAATCGCAAATGTTATAGCAATTATTAAACGGCGTTTCTTAACCAACAATTCTAATAGATTCGCTTTGCCCCCCCCCCCTCCCCTCCCCACCCTCTCTCTCTATTGTATGAAAAGCCAGCCGCAAAACTTCCATGCTATATCTTATTTCATTACTCT